AAAAGAGCTGGAGGAGAGGCAGGAGGGGCAGCATCCCCACAACGCTGCAACAGGACCTGCCCGGCAGCTTCACCATGGACACAGCTCTGTGCAGGGAAACCGACCATGGCAGCCATCATCTCTTGGGCATGGCTCTGAGGGACAATGCAGACACGGACACAGCCTTCCCCCTCCCAGCCTTTCCAGCAGCCCCCAGCCACGCGGGTGGGCTGTGATGTACAGCAAAGCTCCCTGCGTGCATCCTGGCACCAAGAATAAATCTGGGATCCTCTGACCAGGATCCTGGCCCCAGCTGAGCAAAGGGATGTGGGAGACATCATTGAAAATGTCCCTGTTTCATCAGTTAGGATCTGAACAAGTGCAGCATGGATTTAGTATGAACGCAAGGCTGAGAGCTGGGCTGGGTCAGCCTGGAGAAGAGAAGGCTCCTCAGAGCAGCTCCAGTGCCTGAAGGGGCTGCAGGAAACCTGGAGAGAGGCTTTGGACGGGTCTGTAGGGACAGGCCAAGGGGAATGGCTTTAACCTGCCAGAGGGGAGACTGAGCTGAGCTCTTAGGCAGAAGCTCTTCCCTGTGAGGGTGCTGAGGCGCTGGCACAGGGTGCCCAGAGAAGCTGTGGCTGCCCCATCCCTGGCAGTGTTCAAGGGCAGGTTGGACACAGGGGCTTGGAGCAAGGTGCTCTAGTGGAAGGTGTCCCTGCCCGTGGCAGGGGGTAGAACTGGATGACCCTTAAGGCCCCTTCAATCCAAACCAGGCTGGGATTCTGTGATATTGAGACCTATGGTGATTATTTGCCTGGCTCATGCATAGATCAAGTTGCTTTAAATGTGCTTTGAAAATAATCATTCACATAATTATATATAATATTATTTGCCTCCACACCTGCTGAGAGTGGAAAGCTTGGGTGAAAGGGCTGTCTCTGCAGCATCCTCTTGTCCTTGCAAAAGGCTGCAAAGCTCTGCCTTAATACCAGCGTGGTCACAGGGAAAGGACCCTGCAGAGAGGGCTGTGTCCTCTTCTGGGTCAGAAGTGTCCTTTGTTCACAGGAAGCCACTGACCCCAGAGGAGGAAAGGTCTCAGCTGTGATTTTTGGACAGCAGCTGAGCCTGGTGCCACCTTCTTGCTTGGACAAAAGGATCCTGGAGCCCTTGACTCTGCCTTGGGTTTGAGAAGGTTGAAATAGTGGCCTTGATCTGCGCTTCTTAAAGCCCAAGAAAAAGATACAGGCGGGATTAGGGCAAAGCAAGTCCCAAGCTTAGCGACAACTCCAAAGCTTAGGGACCTGCTTTGCCCCTGAGCTTGACTTCTTGTTCTTCAGGCTCCTGCAGACTCAGTCCTGGCACTCAGGTAAGATCCTGCTGCATGTGAAAGTGGAGCAAAGGCCCCGAGAAGAGCAATGCCTGGGAAAGAGCGAAACTGCTGACAAAGCCCGGCCTGTGATGTGCCAAAATCCCTTTAATTTTGGCGTGGTCAAAGCAACAAAAGGAAACAGACTCGTTTTTCCAGTGCCTATGTATAGACCCATGAGCTCATAGTTTCCTATAGTGGAGAGCATTCAAAGTATGGGAAACAGGAATTTCCACCCCGCCTCAGTGCCAGCAGAGAGCAAACTGAAGCTGGGAGCTCCTCGGCTGCCCCAGATCTGGTCTCGCTGGCCCAGATGCCTTGTTCAGCACTGGAGATCTTGGTGGATGCAAACAGCCCTGGCACCTCCAGTGGCATCAGGAAGGGACCAAGGATGGGGACGGTGACCCCAGGGGTGACTGCGCAACCTCAGCCCTGGCAGGATCCACCTGGAGAGGTTTCAGCCTCCATTTCAGACTATCCCAAGAAAACCGGGGTAACAAGTGGAGTGATTTAGTTCCCGATCCTCACAGAGGTGTGGAAGGTGTTGATGTGCTCCGGGGCTCCCTCCAGCAAGGGACAGGCTTCCTGGCTGCACAGGTCCCCCCTGCGGCACAAGCCTCCCACCCCGGCTGCTCTCTGCTCTCTTTGCAGCTGCCCCAGTGCATGGGGTGTCCTAGTGGGGCTGCACCCACCTTATTCTCCCAGAAACCAGCCCCGTGTTGTAACCAACCGCTGTGCCCATGAGCCACTGATACTGCTGCCCACGCTGCGCCCTGCCCAGCACCCAGCCACGTGGAAACACCTCTCCTGCCCACGGGGGGACCCAGGAGCCATCTCAGGAGGTGAAAGATGCATCTCCTCTTCTGCCTGTTACAGAGACCCTGCAGAGCCCTGGGCATCTCTGTGAAGCTGGAGGAGCTCAGGGCTGGGAACGGTTCTGCAGAGCACCTCTGCCCCAAGGCAAGACCTCCCTGTGCGTCCAGGTTTTTCCTGGAGGCTTTCCATGATGGAGATGGGGCATTCAGGCCTCTTAACGGTGCAAATCCTGGTCCTGAGCCAGGAAAACCATGCAGGCAGGAGCCTTGGGGTCACTCTGCTTGTCCTGGGGACCTTCTCTGTATGTGACAAGCAGCACCAAGGGCCACTTGGCCAGACTGACATGGGCTGGCAGCCCTGTGGTCACTGCCTGGGCTGAGGAGGGGTGGCTGGAAAGAGTTGAAATTAAGGCAGGAGCGATCCACCCTGTAAGGCTCTGCAGGGAAGTGCTTCTCAGCTTCTTGCTTGGGGGGTCGGCTGAGGGATGGGCAGCACCCTTGAATAGGGGTAAAGCCACAGGGAACCTTCTCTGTGTGGGTTTCCAGCCCTCACATGGCCAAACAGTGACTCAGGAGCCAAGGAGCCACCCATAGCAGCTGAGATGGCCAAGCATGGGGCTCCTGCCTGCCCTGAGCCCCGAGCTCCTGCTGCTGCCTGGACCACCGCTCCCAGAGATGCTGGAACCCCTCAGGGTGGGTGCAAGGCGGTGGTGGCCCCACTGCTGCCTGAGTGCAAGTGTTGGGCAGTGAACCCCCACAGCGGGGCTCTGGTGAATGTTTGACAGTGTAGGATGAGGAGTGGGGGGATGAGCAGGGGGGATGAGGAGGGGAGGGGATGCGGCCAAGGTGTGGGATGGGAGTCGTGGTGAGTGGAGGCAAGAAGTACTTGTCAGGAGCCCGGCCCCTGTGCTGGGTGCTGCAGCTCGCGTGCTTTGGGGTCCCGGCATCCCCTTTAGTGCCTGTTTCACTGGGGTTTGACCCCAGGGATGAGCCCAGCTGCACCTTCCCACGGGGGAAAGCAGGCTCCTGTCCCTGCCCTCCGATGCCTGATGCCGGCTCCTCGCCCACTCCCTGGGCAACCAGGCCAGCGTTGGGCCTTTAAAACCCGAACGGGTTCCTCCGCATTCACTCCCCGGGAGCTGTCCCTGTCCCTGCTCCAGCCTTTGCGCAACGCAGCCGCGCGGAACGCGCAGCCAACACCTCTGCGCTGTGAGTCCCTGTCCCCTGCCCAGAGGTTGCCCTGCTGCTGCGGACAGCGCATGGAGGAGCCCCTGCCCCGGTGCCCTGCAGCAGGTAAGGGGGCTTTGGGGCACAGAGCAGTAGGTGCACGGGGGGAAGGTCTCCTTCTGCAGTGCTTTTGGGGGGGCACTAAGTCCTTCTAAGTCCTTCTTCACTCCTAAACCAGAGTAGGAACCTGGATCTTCCTCCTATTGCATGGGGGGGTGATGGCTCTTTGTCTTTCCCGTGGCCATCCCGGTGCAGGGGGTGGCTCCTGTGCACGAAAAGGGCAGCCAAGGAAGGGATAGCAAACCCTCCAGAACTGGGTTTGAGGATGTCCGCGGGCATGGCCATGTGGAACAAGAGGGGTGCAGGCTTGGTTTGGGTTTGAAAATGCTACCGGGTCTGGAAAAACCTGCAGGTTTAATGAAGCTCCAGTGCCTGACCCGGTCCGAGAGCAGGGAGCTGAGCGGAGAAACCCTCCTCCCCGCTCCTTGCCCTCCTCTCCCGTTCCCCTCTCTGCTCTCCCTTCTCCCCTCTGCCTCCCCTGAAGCCGCTCCTCTCCCTGGGACGTGCCCGGGGCAGGCACGGACCGGGATGCGGACCTGGGGCTCGCAGCGTCCCCCGGTGCCGCGGGGCAGGGCGGGGGCCGGGTGAGCTGCCCGGCTCTGCCCTGCCCGCTCTGAGTAACCGGGACGCGGGAGCCGGGCGCCAGCAGGAGCGAGGGGACGGGGACGGCCTGGCCCCGAGCCTGGGGTACCCCCCACAGCCGGGGGTGGGTGCTTGCTGCTCGCCCGGCCTCCCCATGGGGCCCTGCGCACTGACCTGGCCTCCCCCTGCTCCTTTCTGCATCCGCTGAACGGGAGCATCTCCTTTCCCTTGGCAGGTCTCTTCGTGGGATGGGGGTTCCCACCCCCTGCACGGGGTCACTCGTGGCACGAGCTGGACCTGGTTTATCTGTGCCAGGCACACTCATCCAGACACAGCTCCTTCCAGGGCCTTACACCTTTTTCCATGTACTTTTGCAGCCAGGGATTATTGCCGCCAGTGGCTCTGGAGCTGAGGTCCTCCCGTCTTCTCTCTCTTGCCCTAAGGGTCACACTGAGAGGCTTAATTCTCCTGAGAATGCCCTGCCTTGCTAAGACCATGCCTGCTGGCCATTCACTGCAACTGTTAGGGGCCAGAGGGCAAAGGCAAGAGAGCAGGGAGGAGAGATGAAGAGATCGATCATAGAATCATAGAATGAGTTGGAAAGGAACTTAAGCTCGTCCAGCTCCAACCCCTGCCACGGGCAGGGACCCCTTCCACTAGAGCAGCTTGCTCCAAGCCCCTGTGTCCAACCTGGCCTTGAACACTGCCATGGATGGGGCAGCCACAGCTTCTCTGGGCACCCTGTGCCAGCGCCTCAGCACCCTCACAGGGAAGAGCTTCTGCCTTAGATCTAACCTGAACTTCCCCTGTTTCAGTTTGAACCCATCACCCCTTGTCCTATCGCTACAGTTCCTGATGAAAAGTCCCTCTCCAGCATCCTTGTAACCCCCTTCAGATACCGATCATGATGGTCCTTGCAACACAGACCCGTATTAACCCATCGCACCTCTTCCTCGCAGCTGGGGAGTGCCTGTGGCTGTCGCAGGGATGTCTGAGACCTCGTCCAGCAAGGAGAGTGCCCCGGCCGAGTGCCCCGTGTGCTATGAGAAGTTCCAGGCGCTGGAGGCCGCGCACCGCAGGCTGAGCTGCGGGCACACCTTCTGCCACGACTGCCTGGTGAAGTGCCTGCTCTGCGCCAAGCTCGACGGCCAGCTCCAGAGCAGCATCATCTGCCCCGTCTGCCGCTACGTCACCTTCCTCAGCAAGAAGAAGCCTCCGTGGCCACCCAAAGCAGGCACCAACCCCCGGACGCTGGAGATACCTCTGTCACCTTCCTCCTTGTCCCATCTGACCAAAACGGAGGCCAGCAACACCTTGGTGGTGCCCAGTCATTTTGTGAAGCCAGTGCAGAGCTTTGACCGGTGCAGCAGCACAGGCAACAGCGCCCTGGATGTGCAGGAGGTCCCGGGAGAGCTGGCGCGGGAAGCCCACATCTTTGTTATCAGCAACCATGGGATGCCACTGGTGGACACAGACTGCGGCTCCCTGGGGAGGAGGAGCAGGGTGGAAACATGGAGCTCGGTGTCATCCAGCTCGGCCCTGGGGGTGAAATGCTGCCAGTCTCCCATCGCGCTCGCCGTCCTCCTCATCCTCACCGTGGCCATGCTGGCAGCTGTGCTCCCCTGGCTACTGCTGGTGAAGAGGGACTCGTAGCAGGGATGGGATCAACCTGGAGACTAGAGGGGTGTCACTGATGCTGGGACAGAGCTAGGGCTGGAACCTGCCCCAAAAGATCCCTGGAGAAAGCCCAGAAGCAGCTTTAGGTGAAGCTCTTTCCTCTGGCCAGGGACTGAATGGACTTGCAGACCTTTCTGCAGATCTTTGGGCACTCACAGTGTCACTGCTGGTTAAAATATGGCAGGACAAACCCTGCTAGTTGGGTTCCTCCAGTGTCAGAGAAGGTCGTGGCTCCTCCTGCACCCTGTGACAGCATCTGCAAGGAGTGAGGGGGCCTTGCCAGTCCCTCCCCTCCATCCCAGCTGCTGGCAGGCTGTGACCAAGCACCCAGAACCCAAGGTCAGCCTCTGAGCAGCAGATCAGGGCTGCCAGGCTGTGGGGCTCTTGGAGGTGCCCAGGCTCCTCAAGCTCTTAGGATCATTTGGTACATGATGCAGCCACCCTGGAGCAGAAACACATGGATGTGAAGCTCTATTGGAGCCTCTGGCTACTGGGAAACAAGGACAGTGAAACCAGAGGACAGAGAGAGTGATCCTGACCCCGTGTGCTCACCGTCCCCACTGCCAGCCAGTGCTCACCTCCACAGTGATGGGAAGGGACGTCAGCTCATCCCACAGGCAGTCCCAGCCTTGCCCTCCATCTTCCTCCCTGAGCTCCCAAGGATCCTGGATGTCATGGGCATCCCTCCTGCCTTGGGGATCCAGGGACAGACAGCAAGGTGAGGGGCAGGGAGCTAAACCAAAGGTCTGGACCGCATAAGGGGCAGATCTGGGATCCCATCCTGCTCTCCTCCCTGTGCCTTGGCAGAGGGAAGTTTCATTGTCTCCGTATCCAGCTCCTGAGGGTTAGCACTGGATGGCTCATTTTCACCTTTGTTGAACAGCTCAGGCACTGTTCTCTCTGGGCCTGGATCCCCCCAGGGGAGTCTCAGCCCCTCACCCCAGGGGCCCTGGTTTGGGAGGGGAGTGGATATCTGAGATGCTCAGTTGAGAATCTGGGATACTCTGTGTTTGCTCTCATTGCAGGGAGCTTGCTTTCAGTGGGAGCTGCTGGTCCCTCCCATGCTGAAGCTGCCCAGTGGTGCTGGGCCCCCTCATCACCCTCTTCCCCACCCCAACAATGTCTGCACCCTCATCTCCACCTTTGCCCTCCTGGCCCAGTTGCTGGCCCTGTGGCTGTCTCTCTTGGCCCTGTCATTCAGGAACGTGCCCTGAGGTCCACGGTGCTCTCATGGGCACCCAAACTGACCAGGAGCAGGAGCAGGATGTCCCTCACCATCACCCATGGGTGCACACTGTTCCCATGCTCCCAGAGAGAGGATCCTGCTGCATGGCTGAGCATCAGGTAGGACAAACACTGCCATCAGTGCCACCGAGGCAGGCCGGGATCAGCCAGAGCATTGCAGGGGGACAAATGGATCCACTTGGGGCTGGGAAGGGTGATCAGGCTGGTGCAGAGAGGGTGATGGAATCCCACCCCTTCCTCTGGGTTACAGCCAGGGCATGGTGCCTGGGCTGCCACTGCCTGCTCTTGGTGCACTCCCCACCCCGTGCCTCAGTTTCCCCACCCACACCCGGGGTGCAACGACACTGACCCCTTCACTGGGACAAGTGCTTGAGACACCGCACTGGAATGGGAAGCCTGTTTCTTAAGAACTGATTATCTGATAATGACACCTCCATACCTTGTATTTAATAATAAACCCGATTATTGGTGTGCCTGGGGAATTAATGCGGGGTTCCAGGGAGCCAGAGGGCTGCTGGGGTGGGAGTGGGGCTCCGGGGGTGGGGCTGGAGGAGCCCACTTTTGGCTGCTGCTGCTGGAGCCCTGGAGAGACTTGGGCAAAGCACTGGTGATGGGGAAGAGCTTCGCTGGCAGCACGGGGCTGAGGGGGCGTTTTGTGCTGTGCTGGGGGAAGCGCAGCGCCAGGGGAGGGGAGCCGGGACTGGGGCTGCTGTCAGCAGCGGCTGCCGGTGCCACGGGCACGGGGCGCTGGGGGGGGGTCCGGGGCATCGCCCCCGCCGGAGACGGGAGGGCGCCTGCCACAGGGTGGCGCTGTGCGGCCGGGGATGCGGCGGGGCTGAGCGTCCGCTGCCCCTGCGGGGGCTGACGGGGTCCAGAGCCCGTTCACACCAGCACGGGTCCGTCTGCTGCTCAGGGCCAGCTCCTCACCCACCATCCCCAGCTCCTCACCCACCATCCCCAGCTCCTCACCCACCATCCCCAGCTCCTCACCCACCATCCCCACGTCCTCAGCTCGTCACCCACCCTCCCCAGCTCCTCACCCACCATCCCCAGCTCCTCACCCACCATCCCCAGCTCCTCACCCACCATCCCCAGCTCCTCACCCACCCTCCCCAGCTCCTCACCCACCATCCCCAGCTCCTCACCCACCATCCTCAGCTCATCACCCACCATCCCCAGCTCCTCACCCACCATCCCCAGCTCCTCACCCACCATCCCCACGTCCTCAGCTCGTCACCCACCCTCCCCAGGTCATCACCCACCATCCCCAGCTCCTCACCCACCATCCCCAGCTCCTCACCCACCATCCCCAGCTCGTCACCCACCATCCCCAGCTCCTCACCCACCATCCCCAGCTCCTCACCCACCATCCCCAGCTCCTCACCCACCATCCTCAGCTCCTCACCCACCATCCCCAGCTCCTCACCCACCATCCCCAGCTCCTCACCCACCATCCCCAGCTCGTCACCCACCATCCCCAGCTCGTCACCCACCATCCCCAGCTCCTCACCCACCATCCCCAGCTCGTCACCCACCATCCCCAGCTCCTCACCCACCATCCCCAGCTCCTCACCCACCCTCCCCACGTGCTCAGCTCGTCACCCACCATCCCCACATCCTCTCCAATCCTCCTCACCCCCAAGCAGCAGGACCCATGTTTGGTGTTCCCAGGATTGTCAGTGCCTGATTTTTAGGTCCAAGTCTGCCTGCATCTGGGAAAGATGCTCCCTGCCCCTTCCTGTGCAGAGGAAAAAGTTGCCATCATCCTATTGTTATTAGAACTGACGGCTGGAGCCAGGCCTCTCTGAGCCCTTTTCCACTGACGGCTGTGGGGGCCATGTTTGGATCTCCAGCCATCCAGAGCACCTAGATGCTGTGTGGCTTATCCTCCCACAGGGCATGTGCCCATTAGAGGATACTGGGGCCATTTCCAGCTCAGTGCTTTGGTTTATCATGGTGACCTAATGTCTCAGAGATAACTCATGCCTGTGACTCTCTTGAGCTGTGCATACACCAGGGGCACATTTCCAGTTGGGCAGGAGAGGGTCCCAGGAAACCCTGTCCAGTGCTGCAAGGGGACAGAGGCCGGAGGCTGGCAGGCACTCCCAATGCAGCATTTAACAGGTTCTCCTGCACAACATCCAAGCATTAACCCTGAGTGCTCTTCCACCACTGCCTCCACCCACCACCATGGCATCATTTGACTGCAGGTGATGTCCTGCAGGCAATCAGCACATCCTGCTAACAGCTTTGCAGCACCTGGGGTGCCAGCTCATGTGTCCTCAAGTGTCCTCTGTTATCTCTTTCCCTTCCCTTCCCCTGCCTCAAAGAGCTGGGATGTCTGCAGGCCCCACTATCCTCTAGCTATTGACCTCAGAGCAGCTTCCAGTGTCTGTAGGGGGGCTACAAGGATGCTGGAGAGGGACTCTTCATCAGGGACTGGAGTGATAGGAAAAGGGGTGATGGATTCAAACAGTGATGCTCAGGTTGGAGATAAGGCAGAAGCTCTTCCCTGTGAGGGTGGTGAGTCTGGGATTCTATGATTCTCTTGCCTGGGTTGGTACCCCACCACTGCTCTACCCCTTCTCCCTGTACAAGCTGATCTCCAATGGACTGTCACCCCTCCATCGACCTCCAGCACGGGCAGCACTGCCGGCAGATCCCAGCAGATTCCCTGGCTGGAGAGCACGCACTGACCTTCCCACACTAACAGCTCAGGATCTTTGCATGATGGCAGCAGGGCTGTGAACCCTGAGTAATGGCTTCATAATGCATCATTAGCAAGAGAGGGTGGCATTCTTATGGCACAGAGATGGGAGAAGTGGGAATTGCGCGGGGCCCAGGAGTGCTTACTGGCCAGGCACGTCAGCAGGCTCCATTAGGAACCAGCCTCTGAAAGCCCCAGCTCCATCAGCTGAGATCTCACCATGAATAATTGAGGAGGAGCCTCCTCCAAGCTCCCTCCCCTCCCCTGCACCCAGCCAGGGCTCCTGGAGAGCCATGGTCCATCAGAGGCAGCCCAGTTAGTCCAGTGTGGCCAGAGTGGGACAAGGACAAGAGACGACACCAACCTAGCTGGCTGTCCCTTAAGCCTGTGTCTCTGCAGCCAAGACCCTTTGAGCTCCATGTCCAGTGCGTGGCAGCCACCTTTTTACATTGTCCTCCTGTGCCAGCACATGGGGCACGGGCATGGGCTGGACTCTTCTTGGCTTTGCACAAGAGTGGGGCTTTCTGAGCCTACAAGGGCATGTGGCAGTGCATGAGCAGTCAGCTAGTGTCCTGCTGCGGGATCAGTGCTGATGGCAGGGGTACATCACTGGGACAGGCACTCAGCTGAGGGATCATGGGGACAGGAGCCAGCCCCTTGGCAAGAGCAGTGCCACGGAGCAGTGTGTGCCCGGTGCTGGGCTGCTCTGCACTGCCTGGCAGCAGCACCCCGGGACACATCCTGCTCAGCTGGCTCAGGAGGTTTTACACTTCCCTGTGTCACTGTTACAGACCCTTTTGTCAAAACCTCATCAACCTACCATGAATGTCATCAAAAGTCCGCTCTTTCCTACCAGCAACTGCTGGCAAAGACATGGAGATGGAGGCTCTAGGAAGAGCTTCTTTTCCACAGGTCTCGTTTAAAGGATGTCTCATTTCACAACAGCAAATTGAGCTGGGAAAAGCACTTCTCTTGTCTCAAGTGTGACTTCTCTGCTGTCTATGGCCAGTGCCCCGCATGGTTGCCTGTAGCAGACTCGTGACTGGTGCTCCCATTGCTCGGCACAGCAGGGCTCAGTGAGGCTGAGGTGGGATGAGCCCAGCGGTGCTCCAGGGGTAGTACTGGGCACTCAATTCACTGT